CTACCCCTCTTTCTCTCTCTCTCTCTCCTCCTCCCTCCCCTCTTTCTCTCAACTCTCCCTCTCCCCATCTACCTCCCTCTCTCTTCTCTCCCCTTCTCTCTCCTTCCATCTCATCCCCCTCTCTTTTCATCTATAATTATTTTCTCTCGATCTCCTCTCTCTCTGATTTCTCTCTGTCCATTTTCTCCAATTCAGATTATTCCATATAAACAGTCACGAACAGACTATCCCACCCTCCTCTCTCTACCCTCTTTTCTCTCTCTCTCTCTCCCTCCCTCCCTTTTTTCTCTCCAACTCTCCCTCTCCCCATCTACCTCCCTCTCTCTTCTCTCCCCCTTCTCTCTCCTTCCATCTCATCCCCCTCTCTATTTTAAGCATCTATAATTATTTTCTCTCGATCTCTCACTCTCTCTGATTCTCTCTCTGTCCATTTCTCCAATTCAGATTATTCCATATAAACAGTCACGAACAGACTATCCACCCTCCCCTCTCTACCCCTCTTTCTCTCTCTCTCTCTCCCTCCTCCCCTCTTTCTCCAACTCTCCCTCTCCCCATCTACCTCCCTCTCTCTTCTCTCCCCCTTCTCTCTCCTTCCATCTCATCCCCCTCTCTATTTTAAGCATCTATAATTATTTTCTCTCGATCTCTCACTCTCTCTGATTCTCTCTCTGTCCATTTCTCCAAGATTATTCCATATAAACAGTCACGAACAGACTATCCCACCCTCCCTCTCTCTACCCCTCTTTCTCTCTCTCTCTCCTCCCTCCCTCTTTCTCTCCAACTCTCCTCTCCCCATCTACCTCCCTCTCTCTTCTCTCCCCTTCTCTCTCCTTTCTCATCCCCCTCTATTTTAAGCATCTATAATTATTTTCTCTTCTCTCCTCTCTCTGATTCTCTCTCTGTCCATTTCTCCAATTCAGATTATTCCATATAAACAGTCACGAACAGACTATCCACCCTCCCTCTCTCTCCCCCTCTTTCTCTCTCTCCCTCCCCCCTTTCTCTAGCAATCACCTCCCTCTCTTCTCTCCCCCTCTCTCCTTCCATTCATCCCCTCTCTATTTTCTTCACCCCCCTCCTCTCTCTTTTTAAACAAATTCAGTTTACCTGGACTAGCAGTCTGCTCCCTTTTTTATAAGATCCTTTGTTTCGGAGTGGCCACCCGCAAGCCCATCTTTTAAATACCTTCCTTGTCCCCATTGTTTCCCAGTAGACTGTTTTTTTTTTTTTTTCTTTTTTGTTATGTCAAAGGATCGGTTGATAGCAAAACCCTTATTCTTCCAAACCTTACAAAACGATTTTTTTATTTCCTAAACCCGGTTGTAAAAAAAAATGTTGAAAAGATTTTAAATAAAGATCTTATATCCATTTGAAATTAAAATGGTTCTTTGCTTCATTTTTTTTTTTTTCTTTTTGCTTCAAAAATGTACCCCTGGAATTTTCACCAAAAATCCTTGTTCTTAATATCTGCTTAACATAGACCAAAAGAAAAAAACAAGAGTTGTGATAAAGACTCTACTTTTCTAACCAAGTTATGTCTCTCTTCAGAACCGTCCATCGACTGCCTGGCATTTAAACAACCTGCTTCAGGAGCAACTGTAAACAATGGCTTAATATTTATTGATATTAGAAACGATTATATTGAATCAAATAACTTGTTCTGCTGACAGGAAAGTTGGTTCTCTGTGTCACCCTAGACAATGTTTCTCGACAGAATCTATTTTACATTTTTATAAGTTTACCATTTATCCATATATTGAATATTTCTGGAACATCTGGTCTGGTGCTGCTGCTGCTATATATTTATAGATCCTTGAAAAATACAAAAGAAATCTGCAACGTTATCGGCCCTGATCTGGCATCTCGGCTTCAGCTATTTTTCCACTGCCGTAACGTTGTTTCCCTGTGTCTTTTCTATAAATGTTTTCATGGTGATTCTTCTGAGCTTTCGTCTTTGGTAACCTCGACTTTACGAATTTAAACGCAGTACTTGATTGGCAGTTAGGTTTCGTTTGATTTGTTTTGTTCTACGGCATATCAACCTCAATGAGTTATTTAATGCTGACAAGATTTTTATTGCTGGTAATATTTTTTTCCAAAAAATTATTTCTGGTAATATTTTTCCCAAAAATGTATTACTGGTAATATTTTTTTTCTTCAGAAATGAATTGCTGGTAAAAAAAATTTTTTCGAAAAATATTGCTGGCAATAATTGTTTCCAAAAATGTATTGCTGATATTAAAATCTATTTTTACATGTTTTGACCCCAGGTTGGGAGGGTTAACTATTTACCCATAGCTGAGACCCTAACAGGTGCTACCACTCCTGGCCAAGGGGGACCAGGGAACTCCACGCTCCTCAAAACCTCCTGATCAGAGGCCTTGCTTTTTGATGTAGTTTATCGTCATACACAGGATACAGATGTAGTTTATCATCATACACAGGACGGCCAAAGTTTAGGGGTTAACTATTTGCCCATACTTGGGATCCTAACAAGTGCTAACGCCTAGGGTTCAGGGTGGAGCTGTGAAAAACAATTAAGTGGTGGTTCCACGCATCTTAAAACCTCCTGATAAGAGGCCTTGCTGTTGGATGTAGTTTATCGTCATACCCAGGACGAGGCAGTTAGGTTTTATCATTTTATAGGTGAACTCGTAGATGTAACCGTAAGTTCTATGTTAATAGTTTCATCTCTTCAACAATATAAATGGAATTTCAATCAACATTTGTTCCCTTAAATGTTATTTATCTTTTACTGCCATCTCAACTTAATAATGTTTTTTTTTCTCAGTCTATCACTCTCAGTATCCCCCAACATCCTAGAGGGGGAGAGGATTATAAAAAAGGGTATGCGGTAGACTAGAAAGAATGAAAGATAACTAGAAAGGCTGTTGTCCTGTCGGCCTTCTGATCGATTTATATCTGTCTTAAGAAACGTCCTTCGAAAGCATGACTATGACTTTTATACAACTCATTCAAGAAGGACTGCAAAACATGGCTTAATATATATATATATATATGTGTGTGTGTGTGTGTGTGTGTGTGTGTATATATATATATATATATATATATATATATATATATAAATATACATATATATATATATATATATATACTTATTCAGCTTTCGGGAATAAGCTAAAACGCCAAATATACAAGGATAAGTAGATTGACTATTGTCACTCCTCTAGGTGGTGGTTTTCTTAGCATAGCTTAGGTGTGGCACAAGGCCGGGTGTATGGAACTCACTACTTAGTCGTAATTCTTTTAGTGAGATAAGCTTGATAACTATTGCGCAACATCGAAGTGACGAGGTAATTTTGTAAGCGCAGCTTAGATGTGGCACAAGGTCAAAAGTATAGTGAACCCAGTAAGGCTCGAACTCACTACCCAGTCGTAATTGTTAACCATTACAAGACATTGAGACAAGCTTGTTAACCATTACACCACATCGAAGTGCCTAGGTAATCTTTTAAGAGTAGACTAAAATGTGGAGCACCTAATGATGATCGTACTCACGATTAAGTTGTAATTGATTTTGCTAACAATTACACCGCGTGGAGGTGCCCCTTTTTTTAAGCATAGCTGAGACCCTAACAGGTGCTACCACTCCTGGCCAAGGGGGACCAGGGAACTCCACGCTCCTCAAAACCTCCTGATCAGAGGCCTTGTACAAGACCGAAAGTACGGGGCACGCGGTGAGAATCGAACACGCTATTCAGCGTAATTGATCTAGCGAGACAAGCTTACTACTCCACGTCGAAGTTCCCAGGTAATTTTCTAGGCATAGCTTAGATGTGGAACAAGGCCGAATGTGTGGTGCACCCAGTGAGGATCGAACTCACTACTGGTTCGTAATGTATCTAGCGAGAGAAGCTTGTTAACGATTACACCACATCTAAGTACACCAATCGTCTAAGTGGTAAGTACCAGCCTAATAAGCGTACAATCTCCTGGTTTGAAATTAGCCCGTACACCGACCCCTGAAGCTGATACAATTGCAACTACATTAACAGAAGACGACGTCTTATCTGTTTGATTAAACTTTCGATTCGATTTTCTGTGCAATTTCTTTAATCTTTTTTATATCGGTAATTTGACGAGATCTTCAATAATCTACTGCTCTTGAAATCCAGTCTGCTTTTTATATTAATGACTTCGTGAGATTTCAGTATTACAGTTTAGATCAAATGTCTTTTTACATTAGATTTCATGTATTCTTTAGATCCCATATTTTTAATGAGTTCATGAAATCTAAACTAAGTACGCATTTTTACATTCAATTTTATGCACGTGTTTTGCATGAACGTGTTCACGTCTCTCAATAAGCATATTTTAGAGCGATTGTGTTTTTAAACACGGAGTAAATTTTTAATTGAACAAGGTATACCTAATATTTTTTAAATAAAATTCTCCCCATGTAAGGGAGTAAAGCCACTAATGTTTTATTTTTCCAAGCGCTTTCGGCTATACCTTTAGCCATTATCAAGGAGGAATATATAATTCTTCCTTTATAATGGCTAAAGGTATAGCTGAAAAACTTGAAATATATATATATATATATATATATATATATATATATATATATATATATATATATATATGTGTGTGTGTGTGTGTGTGTAAGGCGGAGTGTATTTATAGTGTTAGTTGATAAGAACCAACGACAGACATATTAGGTTACATGAAATCAGTGCCATGACCTACTAAGTGTGTGTGTGTGTTTGGTGGGGTATTTATAGCTTTTTATTCGGTAATAATTAAGTGCATTTTAAATCAATGTTTTCGTGTCTAATAAATGTATTTCTTCTTCATTGTTCACTTTCTTAGGAAAACTGTTACTGTTTGCAAAAGAAGACGAATACATTGATAAGTGAAATATGTTACAGATAAAAAAGAAAGAAAGAAAGAAAGAAAGAAAGAAAGAAAGAAAGAAAGAAAAAACGAAGGGACAGATGAAGAATTGAGAAAGAAAGAAAGAAGGAAAGAAAGAAAGAAACGAAGGGACAAATGAAGAATTGAGAAAGAAAGAAAAAAGAAAGAAAGAAAGAAAAAACGAAGGGACAGATGAAGAATTGAGAAAGAAAGAAAGAAAGAAAGAAAGAAAGAAAGAAAGAAAGAAAGAAAGAAAGAAAGAAAAGAAAAGGGACAGATGAAGAATTTAGAAAAGAAAGAAAAAAAGAAAGAAGGAAAGAAAGAAAGAAACGAAGGGACAGATGAAGAATTGAGAAAAAAAAAGAAAGAAAGAAAGAAAGAAAGAAAAAGAAAAGAAACGAAGGGACAGATGAAGAATTGAGAAAGAAAGAAAGAAAGAAAGAAAGAAAGAAAGAAAGGGACAGATGAAGAATTGAGAAAGAAAGAAAGAAAGAAGGAAAGAAAGAAAGAAACGAAGGGACAGATGAAGAATTGAGAAAGAAAGAAAGAAAGAATGAAAGAAAGAAAGGGACAGATGAAGAATTGAGAAAGAAAGAAAGAAAGAAAGAAAGAAAGAAAGAAAGAAAGAAAGAAAGAAAGAAAGAAAGGGACAGATGAAGAATTGAGAAAGAAAGAAAGAAAGAAAGAAGGAAAGAAAGAAAGAAACGAAGGGACAGATGAAGAATTGAGAAAGAAAGAAAGAAAGAAAGAAAGAAAGAAAGGGACAGATGAAGAATTGAGAAAGAAAGAAAGAAAGAAAGAAAGAAAGAAAGAAAGAAAGAAAGAAAGGGACAGATGAAGAATTGAGAAAGAAAGAAAGAAGGAAAGAAAGAAAGAAAGAAACGAAGGGACAGATGAAGAATTGAGAAAGAAAGAAAGAAAGAAAGAAAGAAAGAAAGAAAGAAAAAGAAAGAAAGAAAGAAACGAAGGGACAGATGAAGAATTGAGAAAAGAAAGAAAGAAAGAAAGAAAGAAAGAAAGAAAGAAAGAAAAAAAAAGAAAGAAGGACAGATGAAGAATTGAGAAAGAAAGTAAGAAAGAAAGAAAGAAAGAAAGAAAGAAAAGAAAGAAAGAAAGAAAGAAAGAAAGAAACGAAGGGACAGATGAAGAATTGAGAAAGAAAAGAAAGAAAGAAAGAAAGAAAGAAAGAAACGAAGGGACAGATGAAGAATTGAGAA